TTCTGTTACTTCTTCCGATGATGAAGAGCTCCAGGTACTACCATCGTCCAACAACGTGCTACAGTCAGATTCGTCAGATGAATAGCTGCAAGAAGATTGAAGAGAGTCTGACAATCTCGTCATTCCCCTTGCTTCTTGCTCAATTTCCCGTAAATCTTTAAGATATTCGCGCAAAGCACGTACATCTTCTTAAATTTTTCTTTGATGGTGGTTTCCACACGCTGAAGGAAACGGCAAAAAACAGCAGATTTACCGGATTTGCAGTCAGTAACGAAGGCTCTTTTGCACGTATTATCAGCAGATTGCACCACGTCACAATATTGTGACGTGGGCGCCCACGGTGCGCTCGCTGACGAAAATCGATCAGCCAATCAATTATCGATTACGTAATTATCCCAGCCAATGACAACCAAGCACACGTGTAGCGCGTGTTTGCGTATTACGCTAACGCGCGCAATACTACTTAGGAGCAACTACAGGCTTCCCATGGGCCAAGAGAGCTCTCTTAATAAGTTTCATTGCCGTTTTAGGTAGGCAAGTATGGAAAGAAAGCCAAGCCCTGCCCTCTTTGGTGGCTCTGTTTTGAGGAGTTATCAAAAGACTACAAGTTCTATCTGTCCTTCGAGAACGCCAACTGCAAAGGCTACATCACGGAGAAGTTTTTCATAAACGCCCTTGGGTAAGTGTTCTGCGCAGGTTAATGTATATTTTTTTCTTTGTCTCTCAATCACACTTTAATTTTTGCTGAAAGATTGACTCCCGTCTCACATTTGGAATCTGGCGCGGAATGTGGTATGTCGAGGACACCCCCGAGGTGGCTGCGGAAACCTGACAGTCAGTTAACTTCTGGTTAAGTTAATCTGGGAAAACCCTCGCCGATGTGATTTTCAGATTCAACTTGCATGTGGGATGAGAAGTGAGACGCTGGGTGGACGAATAGGTTATTCTGTACAGACACCGCATGGAGTTAAGCGGGGTAAACCCTGGCAATTGCAGTTTTTAGGCCAGATTTATTAGGAGAAAGAGTCATAGGAGGAACAGAGTGGTGGGAACAGTTTATTCTGTACAGAAGGAATAGGAGAATAGGCAGTAGGAAATTGACTTTCAGACGATCGCACAGCCCCATACTAGCGGACGGCGTCCGAAGTGATGCCTAATCGGCAGTCGTCACATGATGTCATGTGTGAGTCGGCCTGTGATTGGCTGTTACAGAGGCCGGAAGCAGTAAGCATTCACAATTGTGCGTTAGACTGGAGCTAGTCACGACAAGCGTTCACAAGTGTGTTTAGTGTGGGGCTAGCCCCTACACAGATGAAGTAGATGATGGGTAGAAGGCACCTGAATCTCGGACGAGTGGTTGTGCACTCGAAGTGCCTAAGCGGTTGTCGTAGTTAGGTTGTGTGAGTCAGCCTCAGGAAGGTGATTGGTCAAATGGGATTGGCGGAGGAAGACTTTAGTGCGTGCGCACATGATAGCCACCGTAAGAGGTTGAGCATGGGCGGTTTTCGAGACCTGCGATTGGTGGACCGTGAATTGAAATCACATGACCTCATACGTAGCGCGGCGTGGCGCCGGAGGTGGAAGTTGCTAGAGGGTCATTATAGGCCTTTTCTTGCGTATTATGAAATATAGGGGTTTGGAATGTTTGCCCAGGCAAAATCACAGGATAGACTATGAGGTCGAGAGGTCGCTGCTTTTTCATCGACAGCGGACCAGATGTACATGACTCCAGCAGTTTACAGCTCACGCGGATGTCCACCCTTGGAAGAATTTAAGTTTCATCAATCTTGGCTTAATTATATCTGTCCCCTCTCTTCCCGCGACATTCTAGGCTGGAATTTATACCACGTATACCACAGACGTGAGTTATTTACACAAACAATGCTACTGACATTTTGTGAATACTATTTTAATAGTGAACATTTACAGAGTGCACGTCCATATGTACATGACGCACCAGCATGCAAGAAATAGGATTTTCAAAACCTTTGCCTGTTATCCCCATAAATTAAACTAAAACACTTGTAAACCTGGTACCTTTTGTAGGTACGGCATGATACCGATTGTCTACGGAGCCTCAAGAGAGGAATTCTTCGCTCGCGCACCTCCAAATTCCTACATCCACGTAGATGACTTCAGGAGCGTCCAGGATTTGGCCAACTACCTCAACTATCTCGACCGAAATGACACTGCCTATGCCTCCTACTTTGCCTGGAAGGAACACGGAGAAGTGCTGGTTAGTCGTACTTCATTGCCACTGTTCAGCAGCAAGTCAACCAATTGGCTTTCGTGAAGTGAATTAGGCGAAACTTCATCAGTTCACCCGACTATCGCAGCTCTAGCTCTTTCATTTGAGTATTTTAAACGAAATTTCGGCTTAAGCGGCCACACGTAGACCACGCAAGCCAATGGTTAGGGTCTAGGTTATAAGACTAGGGGTGAAGTTGGGATCAACTTTTGAGGATTCCCGTTTCCGTAGCAGCCACTCGTGTCTCTATTTCCCCGGCATCCCGAAACCTGCGATACAACAACAGAACAACCACCGAATCACAACGGGATATCCGGCTTAACCTGAGTTTAATCACGGCTGCATTTACACCTGGCGTTATCTTACAAACCAGCCTTCTTTGTCCCCAGCGGGCCGTTGTGATCATGTGTTTCCAGACAAGGAGCCCTTAAGTCAAACAATTTCACGTCCGACACCCAGACACTCAATACCCCATGCTGAGACGGACATAAACAAACGCGTAAACCATACACTCTGGACAGACACTTTACTTAGTCACACCAGCAAACGGCCAGCTCACGTCACTCTATCCGGTGTATCCAATAAAACACTCCTCAGAGCTTACTGACTCCTCAGAGGCGAACGTATGCTTGCTAATTTATCTTTTGATAAATGGCTAATGCAGCAGTTGTAACGTACTGGTTAATGCTGAAATAAGCATACTTGTGGTTTGCTCTACATACAGTAGAGCATTTTTTATTTTATTGCAAAATTTATCCCGTGTTTTTGTCCTACAGAGTTGGCTGAGAGTAGATTGTCGTGTCTGCGGCGTCCTGCACCATGTTCTGGCCGGAAAACTCAAACTGCACGAAGACACCTTCAAGGATTACTTTGACGAAGCCAAAACCTGCACAATCAAAAGTCAAATTGCCTTCTAGTGCATTTCCTTTTCCAAAAATTGATGGGAATGTTCTGAAGTTACCCCCCCCCCCTACCGCAAATCTACCGCTCGATTTTGCCTTTAACTGAAAACGATGATGACGTTTCAAAAGGCCGGACCCTAAGTTTTAGTGTTTTACTTATTTACTTTTGTATAAATATATACATCTCGTGACAACTGCTTAGTCTTGCCTTAGTCCAGTTTGCAACCTGAATCGTATATAAAATGGCTCTCGGAGATGGAAATTGAACTAAGGGTGATTTGGAAAGGACCAACCATGTAAGTCGGCTGAGAAAATAGAGCATATGGTCCCCTTTACGAAGAGAAAGGTGATAATAATATCAGTTTTATCAGTAGGACAGACCAGCGAAGCGATTAACCGAGTGCACGGTAGGCATTGAGACTTCGCTCGATTTGCTGGCCTTATGATTCGGATTCTCACTCGACCGCACACCTTCGAACCCGGCCACATCTTCAACTTTGTCAAAATATCCAATATAGTTGACATCTGCGTGGGCCACGATCTGCTCGAATTATAGTTATCCAGTCCGCCTGAACATATAAGAGTGTAATGACCTCCGGTTCCCTTATTTTATGTGTTGTAGTTTTGATTGTATGTGTTCGACCATCGGTTTCGATGAAGTACACCAAGTGAACCAACAGGTTGGTACAGTAGGTAACGGCCTCAGGGGTTAGTTTTAAGTGATAGAGGACGTAGTTAGCGGCTCCGC